GCGGCCCGGGTTCGATCCTCAGCACCACATGCAAACAGAGATGTTGTGTCCGCCAAGAACTAAAAAAAAAATAAATATTAAAAAAAAAAGAAATTGATACTCCCTATAAACCAGGTACTGCTTAGATGTTTTCATTTGTTTATCTCCTTTATATTTCACATCCACATTTTGAGCTAGGAATGAAGAGCTATAAGAGGTGAGTAAAGAAACCCACTCCTTCAAGGTCATATTTAGTAAGTGGCATAGCTGGGATTCAAGTAAAGCCAACATGCTTTCCATGTGACCCTGGTTACTGCCCCCAATTAGAGCAAATTGAATATTGGGGTGAAAGGAGAAATGGCAATTCGCAGTTTAAAAAAAGAAAAACTCCTAACAAACATAATGGTACCTCAAACAACCCACCCCCACCCCCACACACAATTCCATGGCAGACAGTGTTCTTTGCTGCTGCACATGGACATCCTCAGAATTATTTTCAACCCAGTGTCTCAAATAGCCAGCACTGATCAATTAGAATAGGCATAGAGTACAAAACCATATGCCTTACCTTCACTTATTTGGTAAGTTTTGTTGGTATTCCACTTAGAAAAATTCCACTAAGAAAATAGAAGATGAAATTTGAAAAGGCATAGATAGATAAGGTTAGGGAAGGTAGACATTCAGTAGAACTGACAAATTTATGTTATCCTTCATCACTGATTCTCAACTGGGGTAATTGTACCATTCACACTGATATCTGGAGATATTTTTGATTGTCACAACTCTGGGGAACTATCAGCATCTAGAAGCTGAGTCCAGAGACACTGCTAAACGTGTTATCATGCACAGGACACTCAGTCTTTCTCATAGCAAACAATATGCAACCCCTAATGTCAACAGCACCACAGTTGAAAAACCCTGTCCTAGTTCACAGGCACAGGGAACAGATGATAGCTCTTGCAGATGTGTGCTGCCTCTCCATCACATTGGTAAAATAAAATTTCAGGAACAGCCATCATTGGCTAAGGATCTGCTTCTGGCTGCCCACACACAGACTGGTTTCAGCCACGGCTAGCTAAAGTACGGCTTTGTTTCTTATAGCCCAAGAAGATCAAAAGAAGCATAAGATGCTACCCACAGATACTGTACCAACATGGCTTTTGGCATTGATCTTACAGTTTCTCTCCAATCCAGAAGGACAGAGGTAAAGGATATTTACAAGAGAAGGGAAAGTGAAGGGGTGAAGTTCCACAAAAGCAGACAGAATCTGCAAGGAAACTCCTCCCACCACACCCGCTGCAGCCAGACTGGTTCTCAGTGAAGCTGGCAAGTGTTCTCACAGTCCTTTTGTTCCTATATTAAATGACCTCACTGCTCTAAGTGTGGTGTCCAGAGCAGCAGAATTGGCACCACCTGGCATTTCCTTAGAACTGTAGAACCTCAGCCCTCCCCAGACCTCCTGACTCAAAAATCTGCATTTTAACAAGACCCCCAAGTGATTTGTATGCACATTAATGTTTGAGAAGCACTGCTCTAGGGTTTCCAAAAGGCAAAATAAAACTGCAAAGCGAACAGCTGCAAAACAGATGCAAAGCTAATCACGTGGCGTAACATATGACTTCTCCAGGGGATTTATGACCCTCTGTGGACGGTAGATTGTAATATAGAAAACAGAAATTTGAAGGAATATATGGAGAAAAAAAAAAGTAAATGCCATGTTATGGCCTTTTAATTGCCCTAAAGAGATCCACCTTGGGATAGAAAAAAATGTAGAGGTTGGCACCTGAAACACTAACTATAGCTCTAGAGTTTGTGCTTTTTTTCCAATTGGGGACAGAGAATTCATTCTGATCTTCCATGAAATTAGAGAGATTGATTTGATCAGTATTTCCAACACAGCTTTTTACAATACCAAAATTTTATAATGAGGGGGAAAAAGTCAATGTGATGCGATTTTAAATAACCTAGAAAATACATGAAGGGCAATGGGTCAGGTAGGACATCAAGTGCACTCTCAACTTGGGCAAGTTGACTTGGTTTCATTCAATCAACAAATATTAGGTCTCAGGGTTGTGCAAAAAGAAGGTTCAAGGTATGCATCAACTGACGATGCAAACTACTGCATTAGTTAAGTGCCTCAGGACCCCTGAAAATTGAGTTGGAAAGATAAACAGAGCTGGAGACAGAGAAGTCCTGGAAGTACTTGTAGGATTAAGAAGCTGGGCTCCCTGGGAAACCTGACCCAGTCCTGAATTTTGCCCTGAATTTGCACAGTGTACAGGGCCAACCTGACTCCTGCACCTGTCTGAAGGACCGGGCATGACTGTACCTGGTGAAGGCTTTCAGGACACAATGTCACTCATTCAGGCTACCGGCTCACTGCTCTGGCACAGGGGCCTAGTGGATGAACAAGTTGCCGGTGAAGACTGCCCAGAGCATTCTAGGAACGGCCACTAGGGGCCGCCCTAGGTCCCTCCACCGAGGAAACGGAAGGGCCCGAGCAAGTTTGCAGCTGGCTTTGTTCAGCCAGGGACACTCTGTTCTCTCCTAACATCCACACGCTCTGCCCCGGGCTCTGCACAAGCCGGCAGGAGATCAAACACCAGCCTAAAGTCAGAGCGCCCCACGGCCCCTAAATTACCAAGGGAGGGGTGGGTGTGCTGGCTGGCCCCGCCAGTCTCTCCTTTGGATCTCCTCCCAGGCCTCCCACCAGGCAGAAGGTTTTGGCTCCCTGGCAATAGACGTCTGTCCCCTCACTTCACTAGATTTCAGAAGCCCTGAGACCTCGTTTGCAGAGAGAGAGAGAGAGAGAGAGAGAGAGAGAGAGAGAGAGAGAGAGAGAGAACCTGAACACCGCCCAGACCTTTCGCAGAGAGGCCTCAGCAGCCAGGGCTGTACCCAGGAGGCTGGGCGGGGGTTGACACTGCTAGAACCGATTTGAGAGAAAACAGCCAGAGGCAAGGCGATGCCAACCAAAGTTTCCAGAGGCTGCCCCGCCCACCAGAGACCATTGAATTGTTGAGGTCAATGAACATTTTCAGCTGTGGAGTGAGGACTCAGACAGAATCATGACAAAGCAAGCAGAGGAGAAATTGGAATTGGAGCCAATTCTGCCCCAGGAGGGGAACCCTGGCACTATCATGGGGAAGGGAGATAACCCTATGCCAGATAGCACCCAGGCATGCGCGTGGGTGAGCGCTCACACACATATTTCCCTCATCTTCCCACATACCCAGGTAACCACCAACATTGCTTCTTTGTTGTAAACCTTTATCATTTCTTTATGTGTATATTAGTTAGTAGAGTGGAGTTCTAATTTTCCCTTCATCCTGAATATATTGTTCCATGCCTTGCTTTCTTCACTTAAAAAAAAAAATCTCAAGAGCTTTCCACACCTCCACATAAACTGCCTCATCATTCTTTCCCTTTCAAGTGTTCCATTATGGTGCTCCACTGAATGTATACCATAACTTTATTAGTCTTCTATTGCTAGACATTGAATCCTTTCCCACCTTTTTCTACTGTAAACAATAGTGCAATGAATAACTTTGTACCTACATCATTTCTGCACAAGCCAGAGCCAGAAGCCCACATCTAACTAACTCTAAATAGTTTATGTTCCCTCTCTTCCAAAGTTGACATAGGACAGATTAGATGCCAGCTCTGGTAGATAAATGCTCATATCTCTGTCCCCATCCCCACCTCCTATCTCACCACTGCCCTTTTCTAGTTATGAAGCCTATTCATATTTGAACAGCTACAGATTTTCTGAACAGAGAGTTCTTGCCATTTTATCTCTTTCTGCGGTTGCTTCACTTCATTCTTTAAATACCAAGGGTGACTGTTACTGGGCTGTACTGGAGACAAAACTCTACAGATGTTGTTCTGCATAAATATGGAAATTCTGCTACCATTTGGATCCCACTGTTTCATCCATGTGCCAGGGAAGTTCAAATCCTACAACAGGCACAGATCCCAGTTTAGAACTGAAAGGAAGGCTAGCAAGAGGCAGCCCACTGCTGCGGAAGCCGCAGTCTACCTCCAGGTCTAGCTGTTGACCTAAAAGTACAGGAAATGAAGAGAGGCAAGGTTGGGCCATGTTAGAAGGAAGTCTTCCTTCTGGCAAAGATAAAACTATCACCTAAAGCTTTCATCCTTGTCATCTGTAGCCAGTGTGTCCTCTCTTTTTAGCACTTGGATTCTTCAGTTCACCTTTCAAAATATTTTCCTTTTCATTCCTCATAACAGGAGTCACCAATTAGAGAGTACTTAAAAAGTCACACAAAAACAAATTTAAAAACAAGTGAAGGGGCTGGGGCTGGGGTTCAGTGGTAGAGCACTTGCCTAGCATAAGCGAGGCACTGGGTTCAATCCTCAGCACCACATAAAAATAAATAAATAAATAAATAAAGCTATTGAGTCCATCTACTACTAAAAAATGTTTTGTTTTTTTTTTTTTTTTAGTGAAGGCATGTTTTTAATCTTGCCATTTTCGTTACTTTTTGCATGGTTAACTGAGACATGGGTTCATTCTGTTTAAGAGGCATTTCAATTTGATTCTTCCTTGAATGCTTTCTGCATGCCAGTCACTAGGTTGATGAATGACATAAGGCCCAGGAACTCCTGTCTAAAAGGAGAGTCAGGCACACACCAGATATTTTTGGTGCAGCAACAGAAATCAATCCAAAGCAACAGGAGAATGATATGGGTAGACAAGTATGTCCAAGGGTCTCCTTGAGCTCAGACAAGAGGAACTTAGTCCAGAGTGGGCAGAGAGGAAGAGAGCCAGGCAATTCTAGAAAGGTTCCTTAGGAACATGATGCTGATATGAACCCTGAGAAGCAGGCAGAGAAGGCCAACAGCATGAGCAAAGGCCCAGATGGGGGAAATGATGTGGGGCACTACGACCAATATGTAACTCTAATTATATACCTGAAAAAATGGATCGCAAGCTATTAGACATGGAGCAAGTCTTAAGGGGGAAATTTGGATAGATTTGAATTAAGTCCCACAGTTCTTACCTATTAGCCATTCCTCTGATCTTAGCTTAATTAAACTAGCCTTGGGTAATAAGCTCACCCAGATCCTCATCTTCAGCTTCAGAAACATTTCAGCAGGCAGAGTTCCAGGCCAGCCTTCCTCAACTGCCTCCTCCTGTCTGTCTCTTATCTCTGACCCATGACCATATTCTGCTAATCAGAAGAAAGGCCTGAGCTTGCCTTTTTAAAACCACCACAGCACTCTGCACTTGCACAATTCCTCTATCTTTTCTTCCAGCTGTTGACTGTAAAAGGACAAGTTAGTAGCCTTCTGGAAAACCCTATGACAGCTCCTTTCCCCTATGAATGGACACTCATTGGAAAGGACACAATGGAAGGGCTGCAAAGCCCAAATCACTTGTGAATTAGGCAACATGCCAGTTGCCATCTGAATAATAACCACCATTGTATCTCCAGATATTGTTGATCTGCAATATGTGGCTGAGAAATTAATGCACCAGATATTCTCTTTAAAAGGCAGTTTTAGCCAGGCATAACGGTACACACCTATAACCCCAGTCATTCAGGGAAGCTGAGGCAGGCGGATCGCAAGGTCCTCCAGCCTCCAGTCTTAGCAACTTAGTGAAACCCTGACTCAAAATTTTAAAAAATAGATCTGGGCTGAGGAGGGAGGATTGTGAGTTTAAAGCCAACCTCAGAAAAAGCGAGGTGCTAAGCAACTCAGTGAGATCCTGTCTCTAAATAAAATACAAAATAGGGTTGGGGATGTGGCTCAGTGGTTGAGTGCACTGAGTTAAATCCCCAGTACCAAAAACAAATAAAAAGGGCTGGGGATGTAGCTCAGTGATAGAGCACCCCTGGGTTCAATAGATGGTTTTATAGATGGTCTTTCAATAATAATAATGCCAGTAACAATAGTTTGCATTTATTTAAAGCTTATGTTACAGATACTAGTCGAAATCCTTAAAAGTTTTATCTTTTAGTTCCCCAACTTCATTCTCAAAACCTAATCAAAATTTATGTTGCTTCATCCAAATTCAAGAGTCCTTGAATCTAAATCCCAGGTCTAAAACCTACAATTTTTATAACATCTTCACCCTCAGTTTTCTTACCTACAAAGTAAACATAATAATACTCCCTACCAGAAATAAGTGAAATAATAGAAATTAAAGCACCTGATTCACAATACAATCACAATGAATGAGTGACCTTCCCTACATGACTGATATTTTTATTAAAAATGATTCCATTTTCCAAGAATCTAAAACGGATGGCCTAATAAAATGTTTTAAGGAAGTCAAAAAGTTCTAAATAACAGAAGGAAATTCTATGCACTGTTTCCTCTTCTGGGATATGTGTGTGTGTGTGTGTGTGTGTGTATAAGTGTGTGTCTGTGTGTGTGTGTCTGTGTCTGTGTGCATGTATGGGTCAAGGGATCGAACCCAGAACCTTAAACATGCTGAGCACAAGCTCTACCATTGAGCTACATCTGCAGTCCCCGGTCTATATTTTTTAAATAATGCTATTAATATAAGGAAAGAAAAATATGAATACAAGTCTATGTGCCAGTTAAGGATATATTTCCTATTCTGGACTTTGCCCACTCAGGGCTCCCTGCCTCACTCCCACCCCCATGAAATCATCAGAAAAGGAAAGAGATGCCTGGGCTCTGAGCTGCTGTTCAATTTTAGCTCTAGGTGTTAGGGTCATGTGGAAGTGGCAGGTTTGTGAAGTGCTGACATGCTGACACTTAACCACATGGCTGGATCCTATTATAGCTCAGAGAAAGTATATAAAGAATTTGGTCCTAGGTGAGATTTAAAAAAAAAAAAATGAAACAATGCCCAGCATGATGTCAGTGGTCAAGCTTGGGGATGGGAAGGCTGGAGCTTGACTCTCAGCTTCACACTCCTTCACCGTGTGACCTTGGACTTGGATAAATAATGTATTGTCACTGTATACTCCATCTCTTTGTTCACCTGTGAAGCGGAGGTAATCGCATCCTCCTCTCAGTGCTGGCCACTCTACAGATGTCCCCTGCCCTCCCTTCTGTGCTCAAAGGCTGACTCCATTTAAATTTGTGTGGATGCTCAGCCCAGCCCCACTGCCACCTTCACTACCTCGTCAATTGTTGAAAATGTGCCTCCCTACTTTGTTTTGTGTCTTTGAGGATCTGTGTTGGGTTATTTCAAGGCTCCGTAGCACTGCCTGTCCATGGAGCAGGAACAGTTTTCTTTCTGAGCTCCTGTTCAGTACTGTCGCCTGGCAGCTCTCACATGGACCATTCTGAACACCACCCCTCATGCTCTCTGCATGCGACATTCTTTTGGTTTCCAACAACAGACTTTAATCTTTCTGGAAAATGCCTCCAGCTCCAATTGGGGCTATACCAGTCCCTTTAGTGCTCACACCTGGGACTCTCAGTCTGCATTTCCTACTCCTCTGCCTTTGCTTTCTCTTTCATTTACTGAGGGGTTTCTCTCTCCTTGCAATGCCTTTCTGGTTTTTCCTTCGCTATCTCTTAAGGACCAAGGTTTTAAACCCCCCATTACTCCCTCCTTTTTCTATTGCTCACCCAGCCTTCTCTCTCTCTCTCTCTCTCTCTCTCTCTCTCTCTCTCTCTCTCTCTTTCTCCCTTCCTTCCTTCCTTCCTTTCTTTTTTCCCTTCAACTTGGATGTATTGAGAATCCACCACAGGGTCTCACACTGCTCTACTGTTAAACCACATCCCCAGCACCACATCTGGCTACTTTTGTTCCCTCATCCTTCCCTCAAAATAACACATACAAAAAAAGTACCTAAAAACACCTCGGAATCATTTAACTGGAAGCATTAGGAAATACAGCACAGCACAGTGGTACGTACATGCCTATAGTCTCAGCAACACAGTAGGTGGAGGCAGGAGGATTGCAAGTTCAAGGCCCGTCTCAGCAACTTAGCAAGACCCTGTCTCAACATAATAAAAGGGGCTGAAGTTGTAGCTCAGAGACACAGCACACCTGGATTCAATTGCTAGTATGAAAAAAAAAAAAGAGAAGGAACAAGAAGAAATATGTTTCTAATATTTTAATATTATTTTTAGTAAATATCTCTTTAATACAGAGCAACTAGACTTGCAGCAGTATTTGTGTTTTATGTACAGGGATATGTAAACACAAAGCAATCTTGGAACTATTAGCATTAAAGACATCGATAAGAACACATCTAAAACTTGAGAGCAACAAACCTACCATTACTATTTTAAGCCATTGTATACTGACAAACGGTCCATCTTACTGGACATGACCAACTTTCTGCTGTGCACATCAGGAATCATACCAAGTGAACCTTTTTCTTGGTGTTAATTCTTAACCACTTTCTTCAGCCTCTTCCTGATGTTTCATTTCATCCAGGTCCAAAGGTTAGAGGCCTGACTATATCTAAGGGAATCAGAATCCCCAAGGAAATAGTATGAGAACAGAAATAAGCTGTACTAATCTCAAGATTCAGAGGTCAGAACCAGAGAGCCTGGATGCAGTTTCTTTTTGTTTTGTTTGTTTGATTGATTTTTGTTAGTTTCTCAAGACAATACAATGATCTTGACATATCATACATTTGATTCAAATAGGGTATGAATTCTCATTTTTCCACGTGTACAGATTGCAGATCACATTGGTTATACAGCCATGTGTATACATACAGCATTGCAGTTTCTTTTTGAATAACCACAAACTAACCCTTCTGCTCTCATGGTTCAGTAGGCGTCTCAGTTAGGATGTCTTTCACTTTCCTTTCCCATTCTCAAGGGCAAGAATGAAGGGGTCTAGTAATTATTTCAAAAAGTTTGGATGCACCCAGAACTTGCTTTATCCATAAGTGTGTTGATAGGCCAGCCGGTCTAAATGAACAAAGCCAGGGTGGACGCTGTTTGGTTTCATACAAGTTACCTTGGACCGCCCACCAGATTAAACACTTAACCACAATCTTGGCACTTGCTAGAATCTTTGTTCTCTGATTAGGCACATTGGCTATAGTTCTTCCCCATTTTTTTCTGAATTCTGAGACCCACCATTTTCCTATCCCTTTGTTCTGTGGAGAGTGTTTACATTCAATTTTCCTCCTCAAAAGGACCCTGACACCAATCACAACACACACACACACACACACACACACACACACTTCTCTCCCTTTCAAATTCCTTGCACCCAACGTAGGTAGCAGTTTCATTCATCTCACACCTTAATATCACCTGACAATCTTCTATTGTTAAATGAAACCACTATTTATGTGTTCTTGTGCTCTTTACCTTGTCACAAGGTAGGATCATGGTTACCTTCACATTTCCCCCAGTGCCCACATAGAGCACTCTGCACGTGGCAAGTACATGATGGATATTTGTGGTTAGTCAACTATTCATCTGATGAATGACTCTCTGGCTCCACTAGGTTTGGCGTCTCATTTTTTAGAGGTCCTGGCACTTTCTAAAGAGCTAGCTAACACTTGGGGAAAAAAAAGAAAGCAGGTAATTAACTAGTGCTTTAGGATTCCCGTCATCTGAGGGTGGAGAGGGCTGGGTGGCAGAGCCTCTGCCATGGTAACTTCTGGCTTTAAAACATATGCACTGTGGATCTGGAGACTGAAAGAGGTAGAACTTCAGAAACCAGAGAAGAAACCAGAAAAGGAAATCAATAAATACTGAAACTACAAAATATTTACTCAGACAGGCCTCCCCTCTTATCCTAGAGGCCAGAAAGGAAGTAACTCCACCCTTTGGAAATAGAACTCCCAGGTGAGGAGACACCCATAACACCCAGACTCTACAAGGCCTAAATGTATACCATGTAGAAGGCCTTCCTCACTGGAGGGTATGCATAAAAGGTGAATGGGTGGAAGAGTGAACGAGGGAGATCTAAAGAAAGAGATTGATAAGCATTTTTCTCCATACAGGTCATAAACTTTCAGTTTCCAGACAAATTTGATTTCCCTAGAAAATTATAATAATATTAGAAAATACAAACATTTGTTACATTCTAGATGCAAGACATAGGTATAAATGTTTTGTGTCTCAGCTCATTTAATCTGCCTGATTCTTTGATGCTGATCTTTTGTTATCTTCCTTTTGGGATACAGTTTGGATCTCAAATGTCTC